AAAAATAGTTTTCAATCATTTGCTGTTCAATGAGACTCTCATTCCCGTGAAAAGATCGTAGTGATTTCCTCAAATCCCCTTTCCGTAGTTTCTGTGGCGTGCGAGGGCTGGAATCCTCTGGCGGTTCTCTGAGGGCTCAGCACGGCAGCCGAAATGGGATGGAATACCAGGGCCCAACGTTTGCATTAGGGCAGTTTCTGATGTCAGGGCTCAAAAGGGTTCGCCAATTTATTTTGCTCTGCGCCAAAGCGTGGGTCGACACATATTTATATAACGCCACCATATTTTATTGAAGTGCCCTGCCCGGAATGCCGCACCGCAGCCCATAGCGTATGGGTTGCCATCGAGACAATATTCTTCTGGGGCCCCCCGTTGCCATAGCGAGTGGGTGCGCTATCGTCTTCCCCTTTGTGTTCACACACTTGAGGTGAGATGGAGCAAATGATTTAGTTATTGCCTCAGCCAACAGCGACGTGACCCCTCAAATTCTTGCCGTCACAATTTGCTGGAATCCCGGGAGGGCCCTACCGAAAAACCTGGGACCTGCCAAATTGCGTGCTTAATGGGTGGTTTCCAGGGCACATTGACCTGCTTTGGCTGGCCGGGGCAAACCGCGGGCTGAGAGCGTGCACACGCACGCACCCGACTCCAGCCAAAAACTCTCCCCATGGCTCGTGGAGCTGCGCGGATAATTGCGAACCAATGCCCCCTCCCCGCACCCCCGCCTCTTTCTGCTTGCTTGTTGGTGCGATAAGTGTGCCGAGACACTTGGCGGAGCTTTAAGTCCAGTGTGGTTAGTCAGAAAACCGCGTGGTGGTCCGCCGAGCCGCGCCAGGCTTGGCTCGGCCAAGCCCGGCTTGGCTCGGCAGGGAGAACGCGGGGCCAGAGGACGCGAGGCGGTGGCCAGCGGTTTGAGATATTGGGCAAGGGAATGGCGGATAATACTGTAACACATTTTTTTTCCTGGGGAAGTGTTATTTTCTATATTCTTGGTTCTTTCGGTAAAGTCACGTAGAAGGTAAACAATAAAATAATAAAAATATAAAACAATAAAATTCTCACGACGTTTCGACTGCAACACAAGCAATCATCATCAGGTGTGAAAACCACAGCAAGAAATTTTTAAAAAGTGGCGTTTTTTAACGTTAGCACCACGGAGAGCGATTTGGCAGTTATTCAGATGGACGAGTCCATCTATGTTCGGAAAAGAGGAGAGGGTAGACGAAAATAATGGATGCGGTCTGAAAGCCACCGTAAGCGTGATCAATCAATTAAGACCCGAAATGGTTTATCAAATCCTTCCAATGATTGCTAAGCCAGAATCCATCTTCTTGGTTGAAATTATCTCTGTGTTTGTATATGTGGATAGTCTCATGAACGAATCTCTCATGGTAGCCAGATGGCTTACAAATAACCTCTGTCTTGGAGAAATCAATGTCATGTGAGCCTACTGAATTATAACAGTGATGTGCCACGGCCGAGGTGTTGGTCCTACCGTGTTTAAGGTCTGCTTTGTGTTCACAAATGCGGTCCGAGACATGTTGTTTGGTTTCTCCAATGTAACTACTACCACAGAGGCAACTTAGTTTGTAGACCCCAGGGTACTGTATGTCCGGAATCACATCTTTTACAGACGGAACCAGATTACGGATTTTATGTAATGTGTTGAATCGGACCTGGATATTGTGTTTATTCAAGATTTTGGAGATCTTTTTTGTGATCCCCGCAATGTAGGGTAAAGTGATGGTTTTGAAAGGCTCTAATTGCTTATGCCTCAAAAGTACAGAAAATTGGTGTTATTCCCCACAAAAGTTGCTTTTGTGACCAGGACTGATATTTTGAAATGTACCTACTTTCAATGGGAAAACGGGCGAATTTGTGTCTTTTCGTTCACATAAAGTCAGAAAAAAAAAACATCAAAATTAACATGCATTTATACTAAAGGAATATAAAGATGACTACAAAATATTCAGAAGTGAGTAGTTTTTCGAGCTTTTTCGATGTAAAAATAATCATCATTATTATTTTTATATGAAACCCATAGAGAAGCAGCCAAGGTGGGGGTGGGTGAGGTGAAGCGAGAGAGGAAGAAGCCGTATGCAGGAGGGGGGGGGGTGCAGCGGAATCCACGGGGGCAGACTGCGAGAGACCGAGGCAGGGAGAGAGAGGAGGAGGAGGAGGTGGGGAGGCTGTGGTGGCAGGCCGCCTGGAGACTCTGGGATTTCCGGAGAGCGTGAGCGGCGTGTGCCGTTCTGCCAACGCGCCAGGCGCGCCACTTGCGTGTAAAAAAAAAAAATTCCCTCCACGGCCAATTTTTTCCCCCGCGCCTTTGCTGTGTCCAGCACTCGCCCGCAAGCAATCTGTGAGTTTGATTGTCTCTTCGCCCCACGCGGTTCCTGCGGCCCCTGTCATATCTCCCAGTCGATTCCACCACGCCTCGTACGCTGAGCGACCGCGTTTCCTTTCCATTTAAAAAAAAAAATCTACCGTGTTTGTTGCCGCCTTGACGTTTCAGCTTCAATCTTTAAGCTTCTCTTTCTTTGCTGCGGTGTGATTTCAGACGCGGGTCTTTGCCATCGTGCGACACAGAAGGGCGTCCGTGCGCCGTTTGCTCACGGATCGAATGAACGCGTTCATCGACAGCTGACACCGCGAAGCGATGTAAAAATGTATTCCAACCGGTGACTAATCTGCAGTTAATGTTTCGCGAATGTTTTACCGACGACCACACTGAAATTGGTGTTCTCAATTGTGGTAATCTGTAATATTAAACACGTACGTAACTGTATTCTCCACAGCCCAAAATTTTATTTAATTACAGGATTTTTTTTAAAGCATGCGAATGGTAAATATACGAGTCTGACGAGTAACAAACCTCACCTTTGTCTGCGCGTGAATATTTCTGTTCTCCGTCTGTCAATTTAATATATTTTGTTTTCCCCCTAAAATAATTATTGCCATTAAAAAGCTGCGCAACGTGACTACGAAGCCTCTTGCGCTGTGCGCGTTTCCCTTTTGCTGGAAGTCGGCGTGAAGGGAGCCTGTGTTGGCCAAGTCCGCGGCTTCGCGAGACGTGTCCATCACTTGTCGGCAAGTGCCGGGGGAAAAAAGGAAAAAAAGAAAGGCTGCAGCCTTTCAAATTGTTCATTCCTTCGCACTTGTAAATGGTGCCCACGTTGTTCAAGGCTGTCATCGGCTCCGCGACATGTTTAGCGAACACAAACATCGAGTACTGGCTGACATTTGAACCTATCGAGGAAGAACCTTTGACAGCTTTTTTATTTGTTGTTTTTATTTTCAACGTCCACCCCCCCCTCCTCCTCTCGAGCAACCATTCACCCCCCCCCTCGTTCACCCCCCATCCACCCCCCCCTCGTTCACCCCCCATCCACCCCCCCTCGTTCACCCCCCATCCACCCCCCCCCCTCGTTCACCCCCCATCCACCCCCCCCTCGTTCACCCCCCATCCACCCCCCCCCTCGTTCACGCCCCCATCCACCCCCCCCTCGTTCACCCCACATCCACCCCCCCTCGTTCACCCCTCATCCACCCCCCCCCTCGTTCACCCCCCATCCACCCCCCCCTCGTTCACCCTCCATCCCCCCCCCCTCGTTCACCCCCCATCCCCCCCCCCTCGTTCACCCCTCATCCACCCCCCCCTCGTTCACGCCCCCATCCACCCCCCCCTCGTTCACCCCACATCCACCCCCCCTCGTTCACCCCTCATCCACCCCCCCCTCGTTCACCCCCCATCCACCCCCCCCTCGTTCACCCTCCATCCCCCCCCCCTCGTTCACCCCCCATCCCCCCCCCCTCGTTCACCCCTCATCCACCCCCCCCTCGTTCACCCCCCATCCACCCCCCCCTCGTTCACCCTCCATCCCCCCCCCCCTCGTTCACCCCCCATCCCCCCCCCCCCTCGTTCACCCCACATCCACCCCCCCTCGTTCACCCCTCATCCACCCCCCCTCGTTCACCCCCCATCCACCCCCCCCTCGTTCACCCCCCATCCACCCCCCCCTCCTCGTTCACCCCCGCCTCCACCCCCCTCTTGTTCACCCTGCATCAACCCCCCCCCTTCGTTCACCCCCCACCTCCACCACCCCCCCCCACCCTCGTTCACCCCCCATCCACCCCCCCCTCGTTCACCCCCCACCCACCCCCCATCCACCTCACCATTCATCCCGGACACTCAAACGTGACATTTTTGAAAGTATTGAATGTGTTTTTTGTGCAAGTGCCTTGGCTTTTTTGTGGCCAAGTTCTACCATCACTGTGGAGCAGTCGCAATGGACCACCACGATCAGAATGCGTCCCAACCTTTCTAGAACATCCCCACACACACCCGCCCATCGTTCGGGGCTGAGGAGACAGCTGTCGTGGCTTTCAATCGCAGCGTGCATTTTTAAAAAATTTTTTTTACAATTCTGAATTAAATTTGAAGAAAAAGCAATGAACGAGAAGGAGAGAGAGAGAGAAAAAAAAGCACAATGCAAAAGCATAGGGTGTTTAACAGCATTTAAGTCAATTATTGTTCGAATAGAAGAATTCAAATTTGATTAATGTTAGGAGTTCCTTTTGTCGCGCCGGTTTTATGCCGAATTAAAGCTTTTGACGAACGCATTGTGCCCCGATTGTGAGAAACATTTCCAACGCTGCGCGAGGCTCACAATTAAGCCTTTCACTTTTGTTGTGTTGCAACATCGGAGAGCGCTGCCAAATTTCCTCCTACACCCCCCACCACCACCACCACCACCCACCCACCCACCACCACCACTCCACGCTCCCTCCTTTTCAGTCAGTGCACCGCGTCTGTACGTGCCTCCCTCATGCATTCCTTCCATGCTCTCTCCGTCGGAGAGCCGAGTCTCTCCCAGGGCTATATATGTGCTCACGTGAGACGATGGCTCCGTCGTGCCCCCGCCCTGTCCTCTGAGTAGCTGTCGCCCCCCCCCCCCGCCTCCTCTCCGCCCCCCCCCGTGTGCGCACGCTGCCGACAGACGGAGGAGCGAGGTCTTGGCCGGAAAGATTAGCAAGCACGGCGGTGGCGGCTGAGATGGACTGCTGCGGCGGGACTGCGGGATCTACGTGGCCAAGGTGGACTTGGACGTTGTCCACCTTCGCGACGCTGATCCTGCTGAGCGTGGCTGCGGTGCGTGGCCAGGCGAGCAAGTCGTCGATTCCGAGGATCAAGCTGTCTTATCAGGGTACGCAAACCCCCTCCCCCCTCACCCCCCATCGACAACTCCGCTCACGTTTCGTATCGCGTTTCGCATTCGCCCCCGCCGCCCGTAAAAAAAATAAAACAACGCCTGACGCAACGGGCGCCGCTTTATGGAATAATGCCGTGCCGTTATCGGCGATGGTCCGCGCGGCTGTGTTTGTGCGTGTGCTCGGGAGATATGAGAGAGAGAGCGAGAGGGGCCCTGTTTTGTTGGCGAAGTTTGTTGAAAGTTCCTTTTTTATTATTATTATTAATAATGTTGTTTTTTGTAAACTTTTTGAAACAACGGACGTGTTTTTTTTTAATGAGCTTTTTCGCGATTTTCGTTGAGGCTCTCCAGCTAAGGTACGGAATCTTTTACAACCATACATTTCTTAAGACCGCCGTTGGAAACAAATGTAACAGTTATATATCTTCACGTGATTCTCGCATTCTTCTTCAGCTGTATAACAACTTCATACTGACATTTGGTTTCTTATCAATGCATGCAAAAAAAAAAATTCAAGCAAAGAGCTTCACTAAATATTAATTTAAAAAAAAACTCATGGCGGAAGGAAATTGGATTAATTTTCCGGAATAAAAAAAAATACTCTTACATGAATTATTTTTTCAAGATTAAAAGCAATGGCCTGGACCTCTATCGGTACAAAACAAGCTCACTTCAAAAGAAAGACATGAAAGGGATGTTCGTGGCCAGGGCTCGCGCGTCTATTCTTAGGTTTTTAAACCGAGGCATGCGGCACATGTGCCGCTACCCAAACCTCCCTTTGCACGGATTCTGACATCTGTCCAAGCTAAATTGGGTTTTTGTTTCATTTGTGCATAACAGCACTAAATCTAACAAATCGGAGGCCGACACGAAACCGAAATGTTTTATTGTTATTGCGAGTCTTATCTGCCCCCATAAATATGCACACTCTTTATAAATCCTGAGTACAGCGGGGTGTTTATGTGCTCATGCGCGGCGCTCCATATTTTTTAGGTTTGATCGCTATCGAGACGTTCCACATAACAGACCATTTGGCACACTTGCGCAAGTTCATAAGCAAGCTGATGAAAACGTGTGCTTGTTTAAAGCTCACGTAAAACGAATGTGCTCTGGCAGTCGCCCAATGATCGCGGCGGCGGCGGCGGCGGCGGCACCTCGCGGGCCCCCTTCCCGCTGTCCGACTCTCTCGCCGCAGAAACATTCGCGGCAAAAGCAGCAGAAAAAAGAAGCGCCCCTTTATCTGGCCGCGCAGAGCGGAGACGGCTCTCGAAGCCTCCCCACAGTCCCCGAGATACGCGATGACAGCGACTTGGTTTTGGCGTCAAGTCTTTCATGGAGCACAAACTTCGAATGTCAAAAGTTGGCACGGGTTTGACCCCACCCCCCCACCCCGCCCCCCCCCGCCCCCCCCCGTTACAGGCTAATCCTTTTGTTATCGCAAGTTGAGCGTCAATTGACGCTCTCGATCTAAAAGGAGCCAATCTAAACGGACGCCCGTCGTTTCCTTTTGCTGGTGGATAAACATTGAACACCATTAATGGGCGACCGCTTTTTGTTGGGAATATTCACGTGGTCTCGCTCTGCTCTTGCCACTATCAATGTAAAAAAAAAAGCGATACGCGCGTTATTATCTCACACTCAGTGACGCTGCCGCGCGGTGCGATGGTCCACACGCTGGACCTTTAATTCGGAGGTCGCCGGTTCGATCGCACGGCACAGCAGTTGAAACAACGGTGCAAGTTTATTAAATTCTCTCACCTCTGTCCATCCAGAGGTGGGGGGAGGGGGGGGGATGTGTGGCAGGGTAAATTGTGGGCATTTTCACCTCTTACAAGACGTCTGATCGGCGTGGACGAATGGGCCAAAATATCCCTCCACAGGAGCTCTCCAGAGCCCCCGCTAGTGGAGGCCCTTGCGCCAGAAGTGTCGTGAGCGAGAAATTGCAGGGCTGCACCTTTACCTACCTCTTATTAACCATTTGATTGGTTGGGGGGGGGGGGGGTAGAGGGGCAGTCATGCTGCATTGCGTAGCGGCACGGCCGTAGGCATCTGGCAGCTTGAGTTTAATTCCCACCACGGCTAATATCGGTGGTGAGTGATAACTGACCTGGGCCAGCTCCCTTTCACCGACCTGCAATGACAAGCAATGGCGATGTATGGCCAAACAACCCTTACACGGTGTGAGCTGGCTTTCAGAGAACAGTGTATTGAGCAAGGGCTAATTGTTATTTGGCCTTAACCTTATGATCTGCTGTAAAGATAAGACTAAAACAAAACAACACCATTCTAGAGACAAACACTGAAGAGTAAAACTTTAACTCCGTCTCAAAATCGGTGACTGTAAGATCTGGGTTCATGTCAAGGATAAGCTATTTTTTTTATGCCACGGTCTTGTTCAAACAACCTTCATACAATTATTTTACACAACACATTTCTGCTTACGCATCTCATTTTACGTCACACATACGTCGTGTAAGCTCCTTTATGGGTCAATGAATACAGCTCAGCATCATTATTTGTGTATTTTGCGTTATTACATTATAATTCCTCTTATTTGGGTCTTTCGATAAAGTCACGTAGATGGTTCATAGAAAATAAAAACATTTAAACTACGACGTTTCGATCGCAACACAAGCGATCGTCATCAGGAGGAAAAAAATATGACGATCGCTTGTGTTGTGATCGAAACGTCGGAGTTTTTTTTGTTATTTTGTTTGAACCTATCTACGCGACTTTACTGAAAGACCCAAAGAATATGAATTTCTGCAGTCACGAAAGCTTTATATCAAGATTTACATTATTATTATTTTGACTACAACGCATGTTTACCTTAGGAGGGCCTCACCGAGCCTGGAGATTCTTTATCAGAGGGGAATCCTACCGAGTTTGTGTTCAGTAGGAGGCGATATTGCTGCTGCTGTGTGTGATCCCAATTGAGTAATTTGCAGGCAACGTGTCAGCATTGCAATGTTTGGCCAATATCAGTTACATTTTATGGGTGGGTTTTTTGGCTATGGGAGGAAAATAGAGGATCTGGTACAGGGGTGGGCAAATTTTTTGACTCGCGGGCCACAATGAGTTCTAAAATTTGACAGAGGGGCCGGGTCAAAGTGCGCCATCTAATGGGGAAATTGGGGCATTACAAGAGAAAGGTAAAATTTAATTTAATAATAGTAATATTTGGACAAGTTCGGCTGGCCGGATTAGGGCCGTACTTTGCCCATGTCTGGTCTGGTCGAACCCCGTGCTGTGAAGGACGAGCGTTACTGCTGTACCACACTGCCGCACAAATAGATATCCTTCATAATTGTTTATCCACATCACTTGTTATTTTTTTTATTATGCTTATTGGTTTTCTTTGAATAGCCGTGGCCATTCTCCAACTCTGTCCCGCGCAGAACTCGTTTTTTTGTTAGTATATTGAAACATTTTAAAGGAGTAATTGAATGCATCATTTTGTAAATGCCCATGCATTAATGTACAGTGCTGCAATTAGGAAATTCAGATGACACACATGTGTATAATAAGAGGCTAATTGCGTGTTTGTCTGTGTGCATGGATGCTCGACTGTAGAACTCCTCTGAAGCGACTCCACCAATGTTAATGAATAAGATGTCATTATAAAGCTGCTTGCTATACGCAGGCTGTCAAAACGAGGTTTGAACAACAATTTGAAAAACTTTGAACTTCGACCTGATTAACTGGGCGCTTCAGCCCTGGCATTTATGTCACCTCTACCATTTTCCATAGCCATTCGTGCCACGTGTCCCCGTTTCAAAATCATTCGAGATCAGAATCAAAATCAAAATATTGATTTACACTAGATGAATCCGATGAGCTATTAAGTTATTTTTCACAGATGTCCATCGTGTGTGCGATGACATTGATTAGGGGTGTATATGAAGTGGTTGGGGTGGTAGTCGTTGAATCTGGTGAGTGTTGAGCACCACGTGTGTTGACGAGTGAGGATCAGGAGTTAGTAGTGTCTGTCTAACGAGTGTTGTGTGAGAGTTACGTCACCTTCGACCATCGGACCGGCTGCCCTTTGGTTGGCAATAACACAAGACTTGAGCACATGCTGCTCATTACGCACTGGTCTGTGCTTGTGGGTGAGTCACAATGACAGTATGTTGCCAGTGTGGCATTGAGGTCTGGCATTTTGACTAAATTGTGGTCTTCAGTAATGCACATTAGCCCATCCCGATATGAGCACAGCTACAGAAATCCGCGGAAGCCAAAGCTGTTTGTGGCATAACACATTTGACTTGTAAGACTCATGGAAAGTCCTGTTCAACTGCTCACCTTGTCCCACTAACTGATCCGTAATCTTCCTCTGCCCGTTTTGCCTTCCATTGCACTGAGCAATTGATTTCAGCGACCGCCTCCCCCTAGCAACCGCCCCTTTAGCAACTGGGAAAGTCATACATGTGTTCGCCCACATTTACATAACCGTACCTCATTAATACATGTCAGAAATTCAAATGCGTGACATTTCCGTAAAGGAATTGAGGGCTTCTTTGGATTTCCAAGGGTTGGGCATGAGTCACACATTTCCAATGTGAGGATGAGGCATGTTATGGGTTTCTTAGTCCCAAGCACAGCTCCCACACAAGAGCCTCAATTAAATACCAACAGCCTGTTGTGGTTGCTAAGTAGAGGGAGTACTCAGCCACGGTTCATACGGAGGGTAAATGTTTATTAAGACGGAGTGGATTGCATATTGTGGCCAAAAAAAAAGTATTGCATTTTTTTGTTTTAATAAAGTTATTGTCAGCTGTGTTTCCATTTATCATACAAATTGACAATTACCTTGGGAGAGCTTCAGTCAGTCTCAAGATTAATTTTCAGCGGGGATCCTGCGTTTGGATGTTTGGTCAATTCGAGTGATGAGTTTTTTTTCCTTTCACGTGGGAGGAAATCAGAGACCAGAAAGACAACCTACGCTCAAGAGGAAATCATGCTCAGCATCGTCATCTTCTTAGCCCAACGCGCAG